ACCTTATACATACTCCCCCTTCCCTTTGACAGATTAACCATTACTTGTCTCCTATCTCCTCATACCCGGTAGATCAGCTTCCTCACTGCCAAACCTAAAGTCTTTTTTTTTTTTAATAATATTTCTTTATTTTCAGATAACTAATACATTCTTATGGCTGCAAACACAAAAGGAAAAATCTTGTTATTTCTCTGCCTGGGCTATTCCAAAACTTCATCAGAAAAATGGCTTCCAATCTACCCTATGAACTGATGCCACAGGGGCACCTGGGTGGCTCAGCGGTTTAGTGCCTGCCTTTGGCCCAGGGTGTGATCCTGGGGTCCGGGGATCCAGTCCCACATCGGGCTCCCTGCATGGGGCCTACTTCTCCCTCTGCCTATGTCTCTGCCTCTCTCTCATGAATAAATAAAATCTTAAAAAAAAAAACCACAAAACTGATGCCACATTAATCTACCTGAATGCAAGTCAGCAATACCAACTTAATTTTTAAAGCACTTTAGTACAATCTGATAGAATAAAACAAAGGCTGATACACTTATTTTATAAGGTAAGTGCTTAAAAATGACAAATGATTTTTTTAGGTACACAGAAATTCGAAATAGAAGCATTAAAACTCCAGTCTTCTGTCAGTTTAAGTCACGTCCATTCCCCCAGCCCAGCTCCCTGATGCTCAATGCCTTCCAGACTAATCTGATGATCTGGCAGCAACTTACCTTCCTTCTCTTATGTCCTTTCACCATATCCAAAGCAGATCCCTTCCAATATTTACATTTACTCAGGATTTTCCAACTTACCTATTATCTTCCTCTTCTTTGCATTTCCATTAAGTAAAAAGATCTTCCCTATCCATCAAAACCCAGTTTAAATGCTGCTGCCTCCAGGAAAACACAGGCTGCATTAACTCTTCCCACCTTTACTCCATTAAAAATTCTTCCAGGGATCCCTGGGTGGCGCAGCAGTTTGGCGCCTGCCTTTGGCCCAGGGCGTGATCCTGGAGACCCGGGATCGAATCCCACATCAGGCTCCTGGTGCATGGAGCCTACTTCTCCCTCTGCCTGTGTCTCTGCCTCTCTCTCTCTCTGTGACTATCATAAATAAATAAAAATTAAAAAAAAAAATTCTTCCACTAAAATCCCCTATTTTGATCCATATGACCTTTAAAAAATCTTGCCTTATAAACTTGTGTATTTTCTCCTCTACTTAATTAAACTCTTCAAAGAAAAAGACACACCCTGCCAAAGTCTTACATAACTAAGCAAAGTACTTTGCCTATATTATAAGGGAAAGGAAAACATACACTACACACACACGTATATTACTGCACAACTCTGGCAGAAAACAGAAAAGTAGGATTATATTGAGGAAAGCTCTCTAAGACTCAAGAGTTCCCAATCCTAGCTGGCAATGAGAACCACTACATTTTTATCCGGAGTATAGCCCACATCTAGTGCCTCAAGTCATTTATGCTAATAACCTATAGAAGTAACACAGAAACAAGTTCTTAAAGTTTCATACTATAGCCTAGTGTTCCCTCAAGGATATTTTTTTACTAGGTAACTGTCATGTTGATCCACGTCAACCATCAAGAATTCTATCTTATTTTATTCATCCTCCCTTGCATCTCTACATACTGGGTAAAATTTACCATATTAAATTATTTTTTTTATAAATTAATTTTTATTGGTGTTCAATTTACCAACATACAGAATAACACCCAGTGCTCATCCCATCTATTAAATTATTTTTTAATAAATACTCCAAAATAATCAGCATTGAATACTTGATGAACTTCCGTGCAGTATTAGTTAGGCAAGATAAATCAACCTGGTTTAAATGAACACTGACCAAACACAGGACTCACATCAACCTACCTTATTTCAACAGATTTGTCTTCAAATGACTTTTTGAATCAAATGACTTCAAATGACCATTTCAAAACCAAAGATTCACCTCAAAAAGTTGAGTCTAGTGTTACAAGCCTTTGAAAAGTAAATGCTTTAAAGGAGGCAACAGTTCTATGTCTTGGGTAGGTGCATTAAAAGCTATCACTCAAACATAACCAAAGTATCAACTAGCAAAATGTTAGGATACCTGGAATTTGCTTTTGAAATTCCTACCAAATAAAGTGTGAAGGTAGATAGGTTAAACAAGAATGAATACTTTCTAAATGTTCTGGCTGGACAATGGGTATAATGGGTTCATTATAGGTTCCACTTTTGAGTATCAATTTTTTCATAGTTAATTTAAAAAGCTATTACTTTAAGGTAATAAATGCCCCTTAAGTGCCATTTGAGAGAAATAGAAAATAGGACTTACATCTCACAATATTAATACTGCTATGTAATGTACAATATTCCCCTTGATAATAAAAAGATTAACCCTCCCGTTTCTTAAGAAAAATAGAATATATCAAAAGCTGAAAGAAAAATCCCAAGAACTAGATTTCCCACCAATCCCTTTTTTATGCCTCATAGTACCTTTATTTCCTATCTTCAAATGTACTGAATATTCAGATTTTCAAAGGATCTGCAGTATTTCTAAGGCTGCAAGTAATTAATGTTTAATCTAAAAAATGCACCATTCCTGCTCAACTGACACTAAGCACTCTCTTATCTACTATTTCCAAATAAAGTTGTTGAGCAGCTTACTTTTAAAGTAAGGAGGTATGCATAAATACTTCTATTTCTGAGCCTAACTTTAACTCAGTAAGTGACTGCTTTTGAACATTTAAAGAGAAGACTTCACTAAAGGACCAAGAAAATACAAGTGCTCTTTTAAAGGATAGTCTAATAAGCCCAACTGATTATTACCTCCTTTAGAGTTTAAGACAACTCAAAAAAAAAAAAAAAAAAAAGGCCAGCCTTCACTTATGAGAAAGTTCTTCAGATCTTGAAAAGGTTGTGATTCAAAACAAACTCACAGAAAAGAGAAATTAGTGACCTAATGAACCAATCCACATTTGGCAGGAATTCAAAGAACTTGCCACTTTGGGAACTAACTGAACTGAACATTAACCATTGTTAGGGGGGGGAAAAAACAATCAATACCAATTAAATCTCAATAATACCCAACTACGAAACTCAAATTGATGCACTTTACTAAAGCAAATCTCTCAGTAATATCAGCGAAACTAAATATAACTACATCCACGTAGAGGCATTTAGCTTATTTAAATACCACTAATTTCAGATCTAATTAGTGTCACTATAGGAAAAATGCATACAGAATACCTATAAAAAAATAGGAGTTATTACTCCCATTTAAAAAGGCTTACAATTCTCCGTAATAAAAACATATAAAAACACCAGCCAACAACCACTTCATGGAACAACTTGTCCCAAACTTTTTTGCAGGTTGTGGAAGAATGTAACCAGATATTCCTTCAGGTTCCTAATTACCCATACAAAATATTCAGGTAAAGATTTTCCCAGTAGTGGTCTCTGGTGGGCAGATAGCACAGAAAATATCACCAAAAACACCAACTCCCCCAGCAGAACTTAACTTCTAATTAACTACAAGTCTTAGGCAAATAAGTAATTTTTTTTTGTCCTAACTTTCCTAAAAACATCCACTTCCTAGTTAATTTATTTACTTCCCAACAGCAGTGCTGGAGAAAAAAAGTGCAGACAGGTAATTTTATCTGCCAGGATTTCTACTCCTAAACTCCCATAAGGTAATACTACTACTTACTCCCATTTTCTAAAGGAAGAAAAATAGAAAAAGGACATCTGTTCATTTTACTAATGTCTTCCAGTTTGCAGATAAGGAAAGGTATGCAGAGGAGGCAATCTGCTTAAAAGTCACATAAATAGCTTTGTTATTCATCTCTGAGGCAGTGATCCTTCCAGGGAGAATATGGGAATTACCTCATCCCCACTATCTGATATGCTGCCCCTTCCCAGCAGCTCCAAGTCACTGCCTAAATGAGCCAGTTAAAAATGGGAATGTGCAGCATATCTGAGGTGTGTGTATGCATGCATGGGGTATAAATTTCTGTTAGGGGTCTAGGGGAAGACCGAAGTAGAAGACTGAAAAAACCACCATTCTCAAAAGTACCGAGGTTATAAACATCATTCACTAAGAGTCATTATTTGCTGTAGGGATTTAAATAAGTTTATACCATACAGTAAATTTTTCTTTAAGACACAAAGGGCTGCCTGAATGGCTCAGTGGGTTAATCTCAGGGTCCTGGGACTGAGCCCCATTCAGATTCCCGGCTCAGCAGGGAGTCTGCCTGTGTCCCTCTCCCTCTGCCCCTCTCCATACTCACTCTCTCTGAAATAAACTTTAATTTAAAAAAAAAAAAAAGACACAAATAAACCATATTCTAAAGTTATGAGCATGGAACTTGAAAGATATGATTCCTTTTTTAACATAGGCTTTGGGGCTATGAAAAGTACAGACCCCAAGAGCCTGGTTCCTACATTGTTAATTGAGCCTGCCATTGCAATTGTCAAAATTATTTTCCAGTTACCACTTAGCACGCATTATTCCTTCTTGGAAGAGAAGAAATAGTTTGACACTCCATCTTTCTGGACTCCTCCTCAAAAACACTGCTCCTACTCATTTTATACAAATTAGAACTATCAAGTGAGCTCACTAATAAAGAAGTACATGATATAAAAAGCAAAGGAGAGGGAACATCTGTTCAAAGAAAAATTTTAAAAAGAACTCATGAGAAAATATGTCATCCCTTTGGGCACCACCCCATCCCTCTTCATTCTTTGAACCAGGTATAGGAAGTCAAGTATACTTTTGTGTTTGTGTGAATATATATATATATATAAACATTTTGAAGTTGAAAGTGAACATTCCTTCTAAATAGTATTATTTCCAAAGACCCTGAATTAATTTATCTACTGCTTATCCACTGTTCTCAACTTAGTTCCCAAATTCTTAAAGTATCTCATAAAAACTTCCAAAATTTACCTTTAATACACCAGCTAATAAATGCTTATTAAATTTATGTAAGAATCTTTATATAAAAACAAATGAATTACCTTTAGTGTGATATACAATAGCAGCCCTCAGGTCAAAAGAACCCCAGCTATCATTTCTTTCTAGGCCTCTCTGGTATCTCTGTTCTTTGGCGGAGCCTAACAAAGTGTTCGTAGGAGACACCAGAGGATTTTGATTTTCTATCTCGTAGTCCTTTGAGAGAAACACTAAAGCACCTTGACTACTGGTGTCTGCTTTTTGCAGGTCACCTATATGACTGGGTTCCAAGGATAAGGCTCCACTCTCACTAGTAGTCCCAGATTTTAGAATGCTACTCAGAACTTGAGGACTAGTCCGTTTTTCCAGCTCATAAGCCTTGGGAAACACAGGATGCTCAGTTCCTGAGGGGATTATTTCAGCACCCTGTGAAACCAAAGTGGCAGGATATTCCCCTTGAAATGTCACCTCCATCACTTTATGATCTGATGACTTCCCAAGAACAGTCTCAGGGCCAGCACTGGGCTCATTTATAAATGATAAACCCCACTGATTCTGGAAGATATCCCCCAGATTTTGCTGATCTGTCTGAGAGGGTAGATCCACTTGTGCTGTGCTCAATAGCACAGTTTGCATATTTGAGGGATAGACAAAAAGGCTAGATTTAATTTGTTCAACAGCTGCTGAAGTCAGACTCATGTCCTGGAGAACTGAATCAGTCCCAGAAGAGACGGGTGTTAGAGTATTAGCAGCAGTAGTTAGCAGTGGCTGACCCCCTGGAGAATATACACTTGCATCAGTCCCTGCTAAAACAGGCCCATTAGAAAAGTTGGCCGAAGTAACAGATTTCAGCGCTGACATAGGGACCTGGGATAACCGACTTGAAGATTGGGTCTGGGTTTCCCCAGTAGACGAAGAAGATGAAGATGAAGATGGTGACACAGAGGAATTCTGTACAGTTTTGTTGAGGTTTTCCTTAACTTTGCTTGCATAACTTATTTTAGGAACTATTTTAGCACTGCTATTGTCCACTGGAAAAACTGGAGGTGGTTTAAATAGGGTCCACGAGTCCTCTTTGGAGGTAACAGCGGAAGCATGCTTTCCTTTGGGTCGATCATCAAACTTTTTGCTGCTCACACCAGGTTTAATATCAGAGCTTTTCCGTAGTATATCCCCCACAGCAGGTTTTCCTCGATTTGTTCCTCCAGGCCCAGTTTCATACTTCCAAATGGGCTTTGAACCATCTACTCGATTTCCCTTTTGTTCACTGTAGTCAGGCTTGAAAGTTTCAAGTCCCTGTTTTAAGTTTGGGACACTGGTCTCTTGTTGCATTATTTTGTCCTGCACTAAATTAAGGTTTTCACAACCCTTGGCACTATTGCGCCTAGCTTTCCTTTTTTTAGGAGTGGTATATCCGCTCTCAGATCCACTACCATCATTATCTGCTCCTTTGCCCATATAACCATTAGTAATATAGCCAGAATTATTTGTTACAACACCATTTGGAATTGCTACAGTATCGGTCTTGTCTACAGACTGGTTCTCTCCAGATTTATTTTCGTAAGACTTCCCATTCTTTTTGTCCATACTGTTTTTCTGAATGAAATTCCTGGTTTTAATTCCTGCTTTCCCAAAGGTGCTGGCCTTTACAGTCTGCTTCAAATTAGTGTCTACAATTTGTTGGTTGCCATTGAGCACCCTGGAAATAGGGTTGGTAGCTTCATCAGAACCCAGGCTCTTTAAAGATATTTCTCTTTCTCCAGGATTACCATTCAGTTCACCATAGCCTAGAGAGAGGGGGGAAAAAAAGTTTTTTTTTACAATATATAAATTACAGTAATACCTAACATTCAAAGAGACTATGCTATGAGCATATTAACTTGACTATGTTATTTCACAACTACAAGAAAACACTTGTGAACCCCATATTACTGATTAGAAGTCTACCAAGCAAGAAACTGATACAAGCTGGTTTCAAACCAAAGTCTGAGGTCACAAAAAACTTAAGCAGTATGCCATTAATACCTCTCATTTAACAAATCAACTTCCCCATTGTTCTCACAAGGCTGTTATAAAATTTCCTTTACAATTAACAGCAGGGCTACCCTCTGGGTAAAAATCAAATTATGCCAGTATGCTAATTTTATGGATTACAGGGAAGTTAAAGAATCCCTTTCTAGGGGTCCCTGGGTGGTTCAGTTGGTTAAGCGTCTGCCTTTGACTCAGGCTCTGATCTCAGGGTCCTGGGATGGAGTCCCACATCAGACTCTTTGCTCAGTAGGGAGTCTACCCTCTACCCCACCCCCATGCACTCTCAAATAAATTAAATCCTTAAAAAAATTTTTTTAAATCCCTTTCTATGAAACCATGAATGGCTGGTAGTCACCATAAACAGTTTCTTTCTACTGCATTCCGCTAAACAAAAATCAAATACTTGTGAACTTTTTCCTACAGTAGTCTTAAATTTATTGACGTTTCCCAGACATTAGATCATTCTGTCAATGTATGAAAACAAACACCTATATACCAATGTTTCTAACTCTTTTAAGATATATTTTCTTCATTTTACATCTGGGTAAGCAGACTAGAGAAATTAATTTGCCCAAGTCACAAAGTAGAGAACTGGAAATCTGAACTCCAGGCTGCCTATAACATGGTTTCCTATCACTACATAATAATGCATCACTTGTAGTGCAAAACTACTAACAAAACTACAATGAAAGGTACCTAATTTTAAAAAGTGTTATGGTGTTCAAGTTTTTTTTTTTTTTTAAAGATTTTATTTATTTATTCATGACAGACACAGAAAGAGAGAAGGCAGAGAGACACAGGCAGAGTTGGAGAAGCAGGCTCCATGCAGGGAGCCTGATGGGGGACAGGATCCTGGGGCCTCCAGGATCACGCCCTGGGCTGAAGGCAGGCGCTAAACTGCTGAGCCACCCAGGGATCGCCAGTGTTCAAGTTTAAGACCTTCAACTACCATGAAGTTTATTACTATATGTTATTCAATTAGGCTAACAACAGCTTTTATTTCCTTACCAGTAAAATAATGGTATTAGTTATCTGTCTTTCTGTGAAATGTTCCCCAAAGCATTTTGAGGTCAAATCATTAGAAAAAGATACATTAACAGGATACACACACATTCATTTAAGGCAGCTTTTCAGGAGGCTGGGGAGGGGTGTCCAATAAGAATACCAAGTAATTTGCCTTTGTCACTTTCATCCTTGCAGGCCTTCCGCCTATAAAGACTAAAAGGAATGTGAGGTGTGTATTCTTGAAATTTTGTTGTAATTCCCAACATAGCAAATATCAATAAATATAACCACAGTAAAAGCTCTTTGTGCATTCTAAAGCATAAAGGATCTAAGATTTTTTTAAGTTTCAGAACCAGGGATGCCTGGGTGGGTAAGTGGTTGAGCATCTGCCTTCAGCTCAGGACTTGATCCTGAGGTCCTGGGATGGAGTCCCACATCAGGCTCCCTGCAAGAAGCCTGCTTCTCCCTCTGCCTATGTCTCAGCCTCTCTTCTCTGTCATGAATAAATAATTAAAAAAAAAAAAAGTTTTGAGAACCATGGTTTTAAAAGAATTTTATGTGATCTAGAGCATAATCTGGGAAGATGAACAACAGGATTTACTCTTATTTTAAGACACTCATTCTAGGGATCCCTGGGTGGCAGAGCGGTTTGGTGCCTGCCTTTGGCCCAGGGCGCGATCCTGGAGACCCGGGAGACGTCGGGCTCCCGGTGCATGGAGCCTGTTTCTCCCTCTGCCTATGTCTCTGCCTCTCTCTCACTGTGTGCCTATCATAAAAAAAAAAAAAAAAAAAAAAAAAAAAAAAAAGACACTCATTCTATATCAGAGAAAAAGGACACTAAGAATGAACAAATAAAGGCAAGGCATTTTCTTTTATTGTACTTTCAGAAAATAACTCAAGACTATAATCATTCCTAAGATTGAGTGGCACAAAAGTTGTACCATAAAAACTATATTTTGCTAAAGCCCCTAATTTATGTAGTTGTATTTTAAATTTTTTGGCTGCTGAAAGAGGTTTTTTTCTGACAGCTATTCAAATCAAACTTTTGGTGGAAAAATTCTAGCTATGAAACTACTAAAAGATCGCTGCTTAGGATGTTTTCTGAAAGGTTTTTCTTTCTTCAGAAAAGCAACTAGTTCCTAAAATGAGGCTATCAATGTTTTTAACAGATTCAAGTTTTACCTGTGTACATCTCTAGACTAAGAAGAAAAAAACTACATATACCACTTAACAACCTAATACGCTAAACAAAGGTTTGGACTCTTGGGCCCACTACTATAACTTTCTCAAAGATAAGAAAGCAATCTTAGAAAGGAAAAAAAAAAAAAAAACCCACCCCAATGTCCAAACTAACTTGGACCAAAGCTAAGACTTTTAAGTGAACCAGAATAATTTTTCCTAAAATTACTAGTATTTAGTGGCTCCAATATCAGAAATCACCGAACAATTTAATAACAGCTCAAAAGCCACTATACTTACATTCCCATGTTTTAGTAATAGTTAGGCTAACAACAGCTCATTCTAACTATTTAAAATTTTTCCCAAAGCAACTTTGCTGGAATGCAAAGTATACCAGGGACATTTTCTTTTTAAAACTTAGGTATTTAAGAAAAATGCAAATACCACAGAATTACTGAAAGAAATCAAAGATCTCCTTGTACTTTTATTATTTAGGTTTGCTGTGCTAAAGCATCTAACCCTACTTCAAAAGGACTCTGCAAAACTTCAGTACTGATAAATCTAGCTTTTGGAATAGAAACCGAAATTAGTGAACACATCTGATCCTCTCTAGTGCCCTCTTCTGGAAAAAGAAACAGGTTCCTCTTTAGAGGTTTATGGGTAATGGGTCATAAAAGCCCACTTCAACATATTAGATATATTTAAAAAGTCGTGAGTTTTCTTAGTAAATTAGTATTATACATGTTGAAGCAACAGTACTGCGACCAGGCCACACATGGAAAACTATTCATCCCAAATTGTTTACATTCTCACAAAATTGCTAAACCCAGGTTCCCCTCTTTATCCTCTTCCAGGATAGACCTATTAATTTAAAGAATACCACCTTGAATGGTTCAGGGGCTGTTTCTATCTGTAGAGGAGATTCCAGCAGGGGTATAATACCTGACCAATGTTTCAAAATTTTCCAATGTGAACAGTAATACTGCTTTATATTCCACACAACCATAATAAAGCAAGATTCTCTTTCCTCTAAGTTGAAAAAGACCTAACGTTAAAACATTTAATGTTGTATACTTTCTAACAGTTTCAAACTGTTTCAAATCTGTTATGATTAAATACTCAATACATTTTCATTTTCATTTCTACTGCACACGTGATGTCCCTACCCTCCCCAGAAGTGGAAAATCTGGCATTCCAATTTGTCTTCAAGTTACATTAAATCTTCAATAGAATAGGAATTTTTCTCCAGCTCTCAGTAACTGCCTGTATCACATTTGATTTGCTGGGTTTAACATTTTCTTATCATTCCCTTCATTTCTTAATTTACAAAGAACCTTAAATTTGTAAAAAAACAAAAAACAAAAAACCTGCCTGATTTCAAGGTTTTAAGTTCATTTCTTCTCAAATGTCTTCTAAAATTACTTTTACTCTCAATTTAACATTTGTGAAAATCAAGAGTTTGGGGATCGTATCAATTTGAAAATAGGAAAACACCTTTCCTTTAAAAATGGAAAACAGCCTCGTCTGAGGCAAGATGGTAGTGAGCCAACCTCATGGATGAGCTACCTCGTTTCTCCCTTAAGGACAAGAAATAGGGGTCAAAAAAACTCACCCTCTACCCCATCCAATCATTTTTCGAATCCCTCTCCTCGAAATCACTACACCCAAGCCCAGAAGGTAAATGCTGGGGGACTGGAGGGAGCTAGAACAAGCTTTTTTTGTAAAAATGAGCTGCTTGAAGAGAGGGCCCAAGTGAAAGCCTGAGAGGCGGAGTCGTGAGCGAACCTGGCAGGAGACGAGGTTCCTGTGGCAGAGAAACTCGTGACCGGGGAGCCTGGTTCCCGCTGGGTACCCCACCCGGCCTTCAGGCACCGCCTTTACCCAAAATGTATCCCCCCCGCCCCCAGCCCTCCTGCCACAAGGAGCGCCGGAGCAGTCGCCCGCGGCCTCCTCCTCCCGGCCCTACTTCGAGGCCGGCTCCCCACCCGGACCGCCCGCGCCTCCCGCCGCACCCGGGAGCGGGAAACGCGGCCGCTGGCGCGCGGGGCCCGCTGCAGGCCGCTCCCCTCGTGGCCGCTTCCCTCCCCCACCCCAACCGCCCCCGCCCCTCACCCCAGGGACCCGCCCGGGGCCGCGCGGCCGCCACCGGGTTACACAACCCGGCCGGCGACGGGGGGAGGGGCGGCCACGGCCGGGGGCGACGGCGCCCCCGCAGGGCGTGTGTGGGGGGAGGCGACCGCGGGTGGGGATCCTGAGCCCCCCCAGCTCCGCCGCGCCGAGCCCCCTCGACACCCTTCCCCCTCCGCTCCTCAGCGGGCCGGAGTCGGTGACAGGAATCGGCTTCCAACATGGCGGACAGGAAGCGGCCCCGCGAGGAGGAGAGAACATTCCAGCCGCGCCGGCTCTGGGGGGAGCGGGCCCGGGCGCCGGGCTCGGGAGGAGCCGCGAGGGTAGACTGCGGGGTCCGGTGCCCAGAAAAGGCGCGCAGAGGTAGAAATGACTCGAGAGTCGAGGGGTCCTGGCCGCCCCCCCCCCCAGACGGGGAACCCCAAGGCCACAGGTGGGCTTGGGGTAGCGGGTGAGGGAGGACACTTCCTCAACTCTGTCCACCTACCCCCTCGCCTCGCCGCCTGCAAGAGGGTCTCGCGACACCACCCGAGTCGAGATTCGCTAGGCCTTCTAGAGATACACCCCGCGGGCTTTGGCGGGGGGGTATGTTCACCCTAACTCCGGGCCACCAAATTCAGGTTCCTCTGGAGCCTCAGGAAGGTAAACGGGAAAGGAATAATGAGGCTAGATTCCCAAGGCCGACCCTGCAGGTCTCCCCCCAGCCCGGGCGGGGGCCGAGAAGGTCACACTGGCCTGGTTGGGCCTCTCCCATGCTGAGGAGAAGGAGGGCGCTGCAAACCCCGCGGCCCAGCCCGGGCTTTGGGAGAATGGAAGGGGGCTTCCCCAGACCCGCAGGACACTGAGACACACACACACACACACACACACACACACACACTCTCTCTCTCTCTCTCTCTCTCTCTCTCTCTCTCCGACCGCGTCCGCGCTTTCCACATCCAGCCCCACCCCCATCTCCTCTACCCCCCACCCCCATTCCCCTTCCCCCACTCGTCCTCCCTCCCAGACCTGTTTTCTTCTTCGGCGTTTCCTGGTGCTGCTGGAGGGTGTGTTTTTGCTCATGTTTCAGGGCCTTAGGCTGGGCCTTGGGGCTGCCCTCGGCTCCATGCTGCAGGTATTGGTGAGGCTGCTGGTGATGGTGGTGGTGATGGTGGTTGTGGCTGTGGTTGTAGAAATAATAATGGTGGTGGTGGTGCGGCGGCTGCTGCTGCTGTTGCTGCTGCTGCTGCTGCTGGGGGTGATGGTGCGGATGGTGGTGGCTGTGATGGTGCTGAGGCTGTGGCTGGCCGGGCTTCTCCTCCATTGAAAGCGGCTGGGACTCCCTGGCTGAGGCTGCGGGCTGCGGCACCGTCAGGATCTGAGACTGCTTCTCAGGGCTCACTCAGTATATCTGAGCGCGTCTAGCCAGCGCACTGGTTAACCGAGCGATTCTGCGAGATTGGCAGCGGCGCTCCAGCAATCAGGACGCACGCTGCGCCGCAGGCCCCGCCCCTAGCCCAAATCCTCTTTCCTTCCCCTTCGCTACTGCCTCCTGGCCAACGCCACTTACCCCGTGCAACCTCACAGGGCCGGGCCTTCAACGTCAGCACTATGGCTCTCTCTTCTGTCGCTTTCTCTCCTTCACCGCGCAGTCTGCGAACAGCACTTTCTACACTCCTCGCCCGCAAGCAAACTCACGTCGAGTGTAGCAGATTCCACTGGCGATTCCACTGGCTCTGGGAGCCATCTGTTGGTTTTGCACCTCCTAGAATGTTAGCTTTTTTTTTTTTTTTTAATCCTTTTCCGGGTACTCAGAGGGGAAGCTCAGTTCCCTTAACCCTGAGAACCACCAAAGGGGCAATACAAAAAGAGGAAATAAATACATTTTTTAAGAATACAAGAGCTTCACAATCCAGTAGATCATTTTGTATTCTGGATTCATTTTGCTTTGTATTCATATGCTAATCTCTTCCTTTCCACGAAGGGATTATAGGGTTCCACAATGGGGTATCTGTGTAATTTTCTAAAAGGGCACAAAGGGTTTAAATCATTGTTTCTTTGTAGTTGGAGGCAAGGGAGAGCAGGAGGCATGAAAATCTAAACTCAACAGTGAAGTAGCTTTGTTGTTGTTTTTAACTCCAGGTGAGGTCCACTGTAGAACCAAGATAAGTTGTAGAATATGAAGTTTCAGGAGTGAAAGGAGAGAGGGCACTTTAAAAGTTATTAATTAAAAAAAATTGCATGTATGGAAAATATTGGAATTTAAAGAAATGCTCCATTGCTTTTGTAATGTTGATTTAATTTATCCTGCATTATCACATCACAACCTTATTTTTTTAAAACCAAGGGTTAGTCAGGAACATTGTGAGTGAGAGTGTTACTCAGAAAGGAGGAGAAGTGTTTTGTTGGAGAGGGCCACAGGAATACCCTTTGATAATATTTTATTTCTTGACCTAGATGGTGATTACACATGTATTTGCTTTATAATTACTTCTAAAACAGAATATGTATGTATAATACACTATTCTCAATATATGTTACATCAAGGGGGATTTTCTTAATTTAGCATAAAACATGTTTAATTTACCACTTTAAACATTTTTAAGTATACAGTTCAGTGGCAGTAGATACATTCACAGTGTACACATCACCCATTGTAACCCATCACCACTGTCCATCTCCAGGACTTTTTCAACATCCCAAACTGAAACTCTGTACCCATTAAACAATTCCCCCACTTTCTTCCCCCACACCCTGTTTAACCAATATTTTATTTTCTGTCTCTGTGATATACAAATTGAACCATACAATATTTATGCTTTTGTATCTGGCTTATTTCATTTACCATATCTTTGAGGTTGATCATTTTGTAGTATGTATCAAATTTTCCTTCCTTTTTATTTTATTACTTTATTTTAAAAAGATTTTTTATTTATATATTTGGCAGAAAGAGAGAGAGCACAAGCAGGGGGAGCAGCAGGCAAAGGGAGAGGGAGAAACAGGCTTCCCACTAATCCCAGGGCCCTGAGCCACTCAGGTGCCCCCCTTTTTTAATGCTGAATGATGTTCCATTGTATGTATATGCCACCTTTTGTTTTATTCATTTGACAAGGGACATATGCATTGTTTCTTCAATGTATATTTTACAGTTTTTTTAAAGGTTTTATTTATTCATGAGAGAGAGAGAGAGACAGAGAGGTAGAGACACAGGCAGAGGGAGAAGCAGGCTCCATGCTGTGAGCCTGATGTGGGACTTGATCCCAGGACTCCAGGATCACGCCCTGGGCTGAAGGCAGGTGCTAAACTGCTGAGCCACCCAGGGATCTCCTATTTTACAGTTTTTAAATGTGGCTTGAGGGACATCTGGCTGGCTCCGTCAGTGGAACACGTGACTCTATCTTGGGGTTTTGAGTTTGAGCCCCTGTTGGGTGTGAGGATTACTTAAAAATAAAATTTTAGGGGCGCCTGGGTGGCTCCGTGGGTTAAGTGATCCCCAGTTCCTGGGATAGGAGCCCTGTTGGGCTCCCAACTCAGCGGGGAGTCTGCTTCTCCCTCTCCCTCTGCATGCCCCTCCTCCTACAAATGTGCTCATGTGCACTCTCTCTCTCAAATAAATAAATAAAATCTTTAAAAAAATTAAATCTTAAATAAATAAAATGTGGCTTGATTTCCTACAGCAGGACAATATTAAAGGAACAAAGAAGCTTCAGGGGAAAACCTGGTGCTCTGAAATAAATGAATACCAACACAAAAGCATAATTAAAAGGTAAAGCCTTTTTACAGCAGCCTGTGTCACTGAATCCAGACAACCATGACCAGATCTTGACTTGTTCTTTATAGTGAGGATTTGTGTTGCCTTATTAAATTTTTTTAAAGATTTTATTTATTTGTTCATTAGAGAGAGAGAGAGAGGCGGAGACACAGGCAGAGGTAGAAACAGGCTCCATGCAGGAGTCTGACGTGGGACTCGATCCCGGGACTCCAGGATCATACCCTGGGCCAAAGGCAGGCGCTAAACCACTGAGCCACCCAGGAATCCCCTGCCTTATTAAATTTTGAAGAAAAACCCCTTTACTGTGTGGTAGGGAGTACATTTACCCAATTTTAAGAGCTAAAACCACAGTAATAACATTGTCACAAATAAGTCTTTGCTACTCAATAGTATTCCACCACTTTCTCATCTATTAAAGGAGAAATAAAAGTTGTTTTTAAAAAATATTTATTTATTTATTCATGGGAGACACAGAGAGAGGCAGAGATATAGGCCTTAGAGGGAGAAGCAGGCTCCCTGCAGGAACCCCATGTGGGACTTGATCCCAGAATCCCGGGATCATGCCCTGAGCCAAAGGCAGATGCTCAACCACTGAGCCACCCAGGTGTCCCAAGAAATAAAAGTTTATGTACAAGTTAGAATAATGTTGATAGGAGTTTATATTCCTTTCTTGACTTAGACATTTAGTTAGAAGGCAAGAATTCCTGAGGTCTAACATCTCTTTCTCCCATTTTCTACATTATAGTTGCAGCCAAACCAAAAACATTTACTCTGAGCTTCTTATCACACCTTAGCCTCCCTTACTTTCTTCACATACATTTGTATGAATGTTGGGAAATTAAGCCTTGCTTTCAGGTGCTATAGTTATTATGAATGTTGCCTTAGTAGCATGTAGCAGTATAGAGAAAGGCTTGTGATATAATGTAAGAAAAAAATGCAGAATATTAAGTTCTATGTACACTAGCCTCATAACCTTGTAAAAACATGAATATTTAAAATTCATGGAGGGACGCCTGGGTGACTCAGTGGTTGAGCATCTGCCTTTGGCTCAGGGAATGATCCCGGGGTTCCAGGATCGTGTCCCGTATCAGGCTCTTTGCAGGGAGCCTGCTTCTCCCTCTGCCTATGTCTCTGCCCTCTCTCTGTGTGGCTCTCATGAATAAATAAATAAAATCTTTAAAGAAAAAATAATAAGTATGGAAATACAACAGTAAAATATGTACCTTTTCTTCCACCTGATTTTTCTAAAAGTTTTATGCAAAATATATTTGAAATTTGCCATGTATTTGAAAACAATAATGCCATAATACCAAAGCTCTGTGAAGAGAGAATAATTGGGTATACTTATTTCAAGCATTTTTTTTAATAAAATAGCATAGCTGTACTAAGGAGTAAAACACAACAAGAAAATATAACAAGTCTGGTAAAATTATGGATCCTTTTTTCTCCTTTTCTTTTTTTTTTCTCCTTTTCTCTATTTTCCAAATGTTCAGTTATATATGTAGCTATTACTTTCATGGTAACATTTTCAAAAATTAAAGTAATAAAAATTGAAGCTGCACAATCCTTTGAAATTCATTTTATAGCATATTTTATCTACAGTCAATGTAGGAAGTTATAATGGAGCTGGGAGGTTCCTACATGTGGTAGGTTAATGTTTTAGCTATTTCTTTCTTTTTTTATATAAATTTTTATTTATTTATGATAGTCACACACACGCACACACACACACACACAGAGAGGCAGAGACACAGGCAGAGGGAGAAGCAGGCTCCATGCACCAGGAGCCCAACGTGGGACTTGATCCTGGGTCTTCAGGATCACGCCCTGGGCCAAAGGCAGGCGCCAAACCACTGCGCCACCCAGGGATCCCTTAGCTATTTCTATGATAGTTGCTAATATTTATTGAGCACTTACTATGTGGCAGGAACTATATCAAGTATTTTATTTTTTTATTTTTTAAGATTTTATTCATTTATTTGACACAGAGAATGCACAAGCAGGGGGAGCAACAGGGAGAGGGAGAAGCAAGTTCCCCACTGAACAAGGAGCTGGATGTTGGACTCCATTCCAGGACCCCGGGATCATGATCTGAGCCAAAGGCAGACATGCCTTAATGGACTGAGCCACCCAGCCACCCTTATCTTTATTTTCATTTCTAAGTCTTTTTTTTTTTAAGATTTTATTTATTTATTCATGACAGACAGAGAGAGAGAGAGGCAGAGACACAGACAGAGGGAGAAGCAGGCTCCATGCAGGGAGTCTGACACGGGACTCTATCCTGGGTCTTCAGGATCACACCCCAGGCTGAAGGCAGTGCTAAACCACTGGGCCACTGGGGCTGCCCAATGTTCATTTCTAAGTCTTTAAGATAGATACTAAGTCCATTCAACAGACGAGGAATTTGAGGCCTGAGGAAATAAAGAAATTTGCTTATAATAAAAAGCCACCAAGTTCATAACAGGGCCTGGAATAGATTCCAGATTGGCTGCATAGAAAGAATTTCTAACACTATCAAAATGATATACATTTCTAAAATTTTAGTAATCTTCTGAAAAACATTCAAGCTATATCATAACCACCATGAAGATAGTGTCTGATTATTAACAGAAGAAGAT